CTCTTGGCCTTACTAGTAGGAACAAGAAGCTACTAGGAGCAAAGGGCCTCGCTACTAGGAGCAAGGACGCTACGTACTAGGGGCATCTTTCAAGCACAATGCGAACGGCGGTGAGCTGCGCGGCGCTGTGCTCTGTCTACATGACATCGTAAAGTGGCAAAGGACTTTCAACTTTCAACGGCTCTGTTCTCCGAAGTCCAACTGGATCTTAGCTCGTGTCTTTTCTCATCACAGGGCCCCAGCGCTCTTAGGTGGGAGACCGCTAGTAGGTTGGAGACTTGTGCATCCTCGCGGCTTCTCGCTTTTCATGCAAGGGGTCCGCCGTGTCTTCTTCGTCCCCCATCTGTACCCGGACATATTTGCCAATTGCAAGTCCTGTCCTAGAAGCGGGTCAAATCCCGGCCAAAAAGCCGGCTCTTGATCCAATCAAAGAGAACCAGTACGCGGTTGCGGAAGCTCACCTGCTTGACTATGTACACAGACCGCCACAACACAAAGGCAGCCAAGCCTTTGGCTTGCGAAACCGTGGTCGATCCAACACCCACCTCTGCAACTGCCTGTGACTGGCCTAAATATGCTAGCCTTCCCAAGTCCAAGAATCGAAACGGCATGGCTTCAGTGTGGCCGCGGATATATGCAAAGCGAGCAACATCAAAAGGATTGTCATTGCCACCAGGTGGAAGGGTGGGTATCTCTGCAGCAAGGTCGTATTGCTTGTTGAGGATGCGTGCTACGAAGGCTCCTTGCTGTGCAGCGACTTGCGCTGTCTGCGGCAATGGATCCTCATCCTTCATCCGTGCGCAATCGCCCAGCGCGATCATGGAGCCATCCAGAACTCCACAAACACGTAGCCACCGATCGACAAAAAGCTGGCTATCATTCCCGTTCGCTTTCTCCTGAGCTAGCTCCTTCTGCTGTGGGATCTCTTGATGCATATGTCTCACCAGCTCCTGGCCTATCTGCCCAGCAGCCCAAACTGTGAGGCCGCATGGAAGGATCATGTCCTCTGTTTTGCCCTTCATCTTTACATGTACTTGAGCAGAATTCACCTCTGTCACTGCTGCATTCGTAAAGATTTCAATTCCTTGCTTCTCTAAGGTCTCAGCAGCAGCAACCTGCAGGTCCTTACCAAAGGATGGCAAAACATTAGCCCCACGATGTAGAAGCAGAATGCGAACCAAAGGAGCAAGCTTCGGATAAAAGCGGCGGAGATCATTCTTCACAAAGTCAGAGAGCTCCCCGCAGAACTCACATCCAGTGGGTCCTCCTCCAACCACCACGAATGTCAGAAGCCGCTTGCGTTCCTGGAGGCCATATCGCTCTTAGGTTGGAGAGGTCATCGCTACTAAGTAGGGTGCTTGGCCATTGCTAAGAAAGAAACAACAAAAAAAGAAAAGGAAAAGGTCTACCAGAGGTCACAAAGGGGTGGTGTTTAGTCCCCAAGTGAGTAGATAGTGGGCACCCCTAACCTTCATTAAGCACCCCTTTGAAACTCTTGGTAATATAGCTTGCGTTCCTCCTCATCCTTTGTGGGTAGGTCTGCTGCCTCGAAGTTCTGTGTGACTTGCTTTCGCAAGCGCCGGGCATCTTCGATGTTTTTGAGAAAAAGGCAGTGAGTGCTAACGCCTGGCACTCCCAAAGAGCTGGGACGAAGCCCCACGGCCATCACCAGAACGTCATATGGAAGAACAAAGTCTTTCTCCAGACCTGGAGGATACGGCCGAATCAGGAGCTCTTTCTTTTCCATGTTGATGCTTTCGCAGGTGCCTTGGTAGTAGTCGACCGTCGGATTGGCGCTCCGGATGTGCTCGAGAATCGACCTATACTCCACCGTACCGACAGCTGCTGCGGCGAGCATGGGAGTAAAAACAAAATAATTCCTGGGCGAGATCACGCACACATCCACTTTGCTCACATCAATGATCTTCGCAATGGCATGTGCTGCCCAGCCAGTTCCCAGCACCACTACTTGGCGTTTCCCCTCACTTCTCCGCGAGTCCCGCTCTGAGGACAGCCAGGCTGGCAGCCGGGTCACATGCAAAAGAGCATCTTCTGCAGTGTTTGCCAGCTCTTCCAATGCCTGCTCCACATCCTCAACGAGCCCTCTTCGCACCGTGTGGATCCTCCGCTGTGATGGGACGTGCCGTGACGAACCACGTGACTTTGACGCGAGCGAAGAAACGAGAGCTCCGGGAGCCACCAGAGCCACCAGTTGGGCTCCAAAGAGCGGCCTCAACGGCCGAGCCTCAACGGCCTCAACGGCACGCTGCGTCGGCCACGCACGTCGTGCGTGCCAAGGCAGCACGTTGCTGTGCACGCTGGTGCTTTGAGACCGTAGCATGGCTGGAAGTAGTCCAAGCCGAAATGCTTCAGCGAAAATGGCTACGGAAACAGCGCCTATCGTCCTACTTTGATCTAATTTGCTGATGAGTGCCTTACGGGATCTTACGGATAATCATCAGCAACTTCTCACTTTAGCCACTTTAAGCCCATCATCCCTCACATTTCTGCGCTCTGCACACCTGCCTCTTCGGAGACCGCACGCCCAAGTTCAGGGCTGAGTCCTCTTCGTGTGCATTCGTGTTGTTGCTCGGGGTCCGCAACAAATGTCCAGAGCTTGGACCACTCAAACTTCAAAGAAAAAAAAGAATCCTTTTTTCAGAATGATATTCGATGATTGCCCCTTCTGCATACAAAGGCAAAACCCCAAAAACTTTGATGCTAAGCCACATTCCAAGTGCTGAAAAAATTAAGAAACTGGAAATCCTTCGCTCAAACAAGAAGCTACTAGGAACAAGTGCATCGCTTCTAGTAACAAGTGCCTTACTAGTAGTAACAAGAAGCTCTTAGGTGTTTTTTCATGTTCGGCACTCAGCCCGGCTGCTCCCTCCGTCGCACCTGAGGCCAGGCGCCCGCAGAGTTTGCTTGGGTGCCGATCCTCGTCCTGCTTCAAAACGCGAACACTGAGTGTTGAATGTTGGATGGGATTTGGGAGTCATCTTGAATTCCGAGAAAGGCATCGCTACTAGGAGCAAGAACGCTACTAGGGGCTCCTGGCATCGCTAGGTAACAAGAAGCTTGAACGCTTGAATGGAGAAATGACACCGTTTCAAGGCCAACTGTGGCGTTCGTGGATGGAGCTTTTGATTAGCGGTGTCTCGGAATTGCTTGCGACGAAGCAAAGCGACGCACGCGACGCAAGCGACGTGGCCGAGCTGGCTGAATTCTGAAGCGTCTGAGGTCTGAAGCCAAATGCTGGCTCATCTAAAATATAAACTACACCCCCAATTGCAATGGCCTCCAACCTAATGGCAATGGCCAACCTAATAGCGATGGCCTCCAACCTAGCAGCAATGGCCTCCAACCTATTAGCAATGGCCTCCAACCTATTAGCAATGGCCTCCATATATTAGCAATGGCGTCCAACCTAATAGCAATGGCCTCCAACCTAGAAGCAATGGCCTCATCTAAACATTAACTACCCCATGCCCGAATATCATCCAAAGACAACTGTATGTTGGTGTTGAATCTCGTTCTCAA